CACGACTGGTTGAATATTATAAAAATCCAGAGGCCACAAAAGCAGCCATTGACGATGAAGGTATTGATATTAATTAGGATCTGAATTTCATGGAAGTTCATTATTCAAATTTTATATAAAACTGAGAGCCTTATTTTGATCTACGTCAGGTTTTTTACGTACCGGCGATATTGGCTACTACGACGATGACGGAAATTTGTTCCTTGTCGATAGGTTGAAGGCACTCATAAAGTTCAGAAACTACCATGTTTCAGCTTCAGAAATTGAAACGATTTTACAATCACATTCCAAGTATATGGTACGATGCAATTGGTTTATATTTATAAAATTAAAGATGCACTATTACAGTTTATTTGATTACCTTTTTGTTACATAGGTTCAACGGAAGTAGGATTAGCAACGGTACAACAATCGTATGATAAACCAGAGTCTGTGGGGACGCCAGCTGATAACGTTCAAATCAAAATAGTGGATATTCAATCTGGAGAAATTCTGGGACCTAGTCAAAAAGGTGAAATATGTATAAACTCACCTGCACGACTGGTTGAATATTATAAAAATCCAGAGGCCACAAAAGCAGCCATTGACGATGAAGGTATTGATATTAATTAGGATCTGAATTTCATGGAAGTTCATTATACAAATTTTATATAAAACTGAGAACCTTATTTTTATCTACGTCAGGTTTTTTTCGTACCGGCGATATTGGCTACTATGACGATGACGGAAATTTCTTCCTTGTCGATAGGTTGAAGGCACTCATAAAGTTCAGAAACTACCATGTTTCAGCTTCAGAAATTGAAACGATTTTACAATCACATCCGGCTGTACAGGAAGCTGCAGTGGTTGGTAAACCTCATGAAATTGATGACGAACATCCCTTAGCCTTTGTGACGAAAGTCCCTGGGCGGGAGGTCCGTATGCATTCGATAGGTTTTACTTTACTTTGCCTATGACTCATTTACTCAATTCGGCAAATGTTATTAGGTTACTGAACAAGAACTGATCGACCTAGTCGCAAAGGAAGTAATGGATACGAACAGACTTCGCGGTGGTGTAATATTCTTAGAGTCGATGCCACGTACTGCTACTGATAAAATAAACAAGCCAAAACTGAAAGAAATGTTGAAAGATATTATATAACGCAATTGGTGTGAATAGAAACTATATTAACCGCCTATGACGCTTGCTTAGAAGAGCAGTCAGTTACCTGCCTTCGTTAGTAACGGATCAATCATGTGATCCTGTTGTAGTGCTTCATCCGAAAATAAAGGAAACCATACAAAAAGAAACGAACCTAACGTTTTAAGTTAACTGAAAGTGTAGTCATAACTGGAAACTTTAATTTTCTCCCATTCGTTTTTTTTTTTTTAACGCGAGTAACTCGGTTTTACAACTTGGAGAAGTTTTTATAAATGTGCAGAATTGAATCGAGTATACGTTCATAAAGATGTTAAAAGTTAAGCGATATGTCTAGTAAGGGTCCATATATTTCCCTTTTAGTAAAATAAGAAATTTCTAACGCTTAGCAAAAATGATCTCACGATTAATAAGGAAAATGGTAAAAATCCAATAATTTTTATTAATTTTATTTTTTAAATATTTTATTGATAATCATATAGCCCCGAAAACATACGAGGAACAGAACAATATCAAAAACCTTCGTGTTATAAATTATAAAAAGTATCTTAATATTCTATTAACTTTATTGTTTTTCAATATTACGTATGCTTGGACTAAATTCCAATATAAAATATTTGTTTGTGTGCCAATAAACGACTGGAATTTACCTCATGAAGAATTAAAGTTAATTTGGGCATATAATCGTCTGGACTTCTGTTGAATCAATATTTTAACAGCCTGTTTATATATTATTATACGAAGCCGTATTCTGAAAAATAGATAATTAAAGTCTTAATTGACGAATCCTTTGATCTTGCTGATCCTCTCTATGGATTTAACAGCTGCTTGATGTATCTTTTTATCCAATTTATCTGGAAATTAAAAAAATGTTCCAGCGTATATTATAATAATCAGTAATTCTTCAATAATTATATGATTAAAAAGTTGTTTCGGAAATTTATTGAATTATATGAAGTTTGTTATGCATATATTGGAAATAGCTACTAGTATTGGTACTCACATATTTAACGTTTCCTTGCATCGGAAACTTTATTGGTAGCTGTTTGCAGTCCTCACATATGAAAACAAATGGACTATCAGTATCTCCCTCAGGATGAACTCTTCGATACTCCTCTTGTGGTAGTACATCCACTACGTTTACGTAACCCAATAAACATCCCGTTGGATAGTTGTTTGGAAACTTGATGCTGTCTGTATTATAATTACATAAGGAAAAGGATTATGTATATAATTAGAATGTGACTGATACAGATAAGTCATTCAAAAAATACTAAAACTTGGAGAAGTTTTTATAAATGTGCAGAATTGAATCGAGTATACGTTCATAAAGATGTTAAAAGTTAAGCGATATGTCTAGTAAGGGTCCATATATTTCCCTTTTAGTAAAATAAGAAATTTCTAACGCTTAGCAAAAATGATCTCACGATTAATAAGGAAAATGGTAAAAATCCAATAATTTTTATTAATTTTATTTAAAAAATTTTTTATTGATAATCATATAGCCCCGAAAACATATGAGGAACAGAACAATATCAAAAACCTTCGTGTTATAAATTATAAAAAGTATCTTAATATTTTATTAACTTTGTTGTTTTTCAATATTACGTATGCCTGGACTAAATTCCAATACAAAATATTTGTTTCTGTGCCAATAAGCGACTGGAATTTACTTGATGGAGAATTGAAGTTAATTTGGGCATATAATCGTCTGGACTTCTGTTGAATCAATATTTTAACAGCCTGTTTATATATTATTATACGAAGCCGTATTCTGAAAAATAGATAATTAAAGTCTTAATTGACGAATCCTTTGATCTTGCTGATCCTCTCTATGGATTTAACAGCTGCTTGATGTATCTTTTTATCCAATTTATCTGGAAATTAAAAAAATGTTCCAGCGTATATTATAATAATCAGTAATTCTTCAATAATTATATGATTAAAAAGTTGTTTCGGAAATTTATTGAATTATATGAAGTTTGTTATGCATATATTGGAAATAGCGACTAGTATTAGTACTTACATATTTTATGTTTTCCTTGCATCGGAAACTTTATTGGTAGCTGTTTGCAGTCCTCACATATGAAAACAAATGGACTATCAGTATCTCCCTCAGGATGAACTCTTCGATACTCCTCTTGTGGTAGTACATCCACTACGTTTACGTAACCCAATAAACATCCCGTTGGATAGTTGTTTGGAAACTTGATGCTGTCTGTATTATAATTACATAAGGAAAAGGATTATGTATATAATTAGAATGTGACTGATACAGATAAGTCATTCAAAAAATACTAACCACCCAGTAGGACACGATATCGATGCTCTAAAGCCGAAATTTCCTCTTTATTAGGAACCTTCGTTGCTGCTGCTATCCAAAGTCTACCTCTATGTGCTGAGTACCACGAACGACCTTCATGACTAATAAAAAAGAATAAAAAAATTAATAACATATTTTTTAAATATTGTCATAAAACTTACACTTTTATCCCAGCAACCAATAACGATGCGTATGGCTGATGCATACTTAAACAGAGTCCTTCGTCAACCATTTCTAGGTACTCTCTATCTTGAATACGGTATACTGTATTTAAGGTATTCGATTCATTCGATGGCTTCGATGTCCAGGAATCTACCTCGACATACTGTTATCAAATATTTAAATGCGATCAAATATTATTTACTGAAGGTTATTTAAATGAATTTAAAAAACTTACAACTGGTTGTTCAAAATCTAATGAAGGAAACATGGAGTCCATTAAAGCATCACTTTGAATCATTTCATGAGAATCTTCTGACAATTGATCATTGAAAACGTCTATCTCTTCAAATTCATCAATAACTTCTCTGCCAGCCAAGTCGAGAATGACTTTCCGGTTTAATCGTGAACCATGCTTTTTGGCTCGTGTTGCCTCTTCCTGTTTTTGTAATTTTTCACGTTCTGCATTTGACAGCCAAACACTGTTTGCTTGATAATAATCACTTTCATCATCAATGACTTTGGTTCTTCGTGCACTACCAATGTAGAGTTATTTAAAACACTTGTTTATTTACTTATAAGTATATATTTTATGAGTATTTGGTATGAATTCGCTATAATATTTAATCTACCTGTTACGATCATATTCAAGGAGCTTATTACGATGTTTCATTGAATCTTCTAATTCCTTTGTTGGTTTCTGCTCCATAAGTTTATTATACAAGTTATCTGCTTGCTTGCTATTACTTGAAAGAATGGCTTGTTGATCAGGAGAGCAAACAAGTTCGTTACAAAAAAAGCATGGACCAGCTCCTTCCTGTGCACACACTATCCTTCCGCAGTTAATACAGTTATTTATCAAAGCATGTTTCTTAGCCTCGCAATTACATATGTGTCTACCTATTTTAAGGAATACACATTTTGTTGTGGTGCTATGTTAAAATAGAATTTTTATCTAATAAATTACTTTATAAGATTAGCAACAAATACCTTTTAAAAGAATAGTTTCTCTATCTCTACCTTCTTGAGAATATAAATTTACAAACTTTTTCTTCTTCTCTGGTTTTTCTACTTTTTCAATTTTCATGCTTTCCTGTAATAAAATTAATAGCTAATATTATTTGCTCCTTATACAAAAACAAAATAATTTTGATATACCATTAGATTCTCTTTGCCTTTAACTTTTCCTTTCTTCTTCTCATTTTGTTTCTGAGTAACATTGTTGTTACCAGTTAACTTTTTATATCCTATCAAGTCATTCTTAGTAGCTATAACAAAACAAATGTATAATGAAATATCAAATGTTTTTTCAGAAAGGTAATAACGTGTTATACAGTGTGATATATAAATTTTGCTATGCAGTTAATTTTCAGACAAACAATGTGACTACCTTGCTGCTTTTTAAGCTCGATAATAAATTGCCTGTGCTTGGGGTTACTGTAATCCAGCAATGTCTGAAGATATTCATCTAAATCCCTTTCATTTCGCATTTGCAAAATACATCTGTGAAGAAACAAAGAGGCTAAGTCAGGAACACTAATTCTCTATTACAAGATATGAAAGAAATAATTTCCAAATGTAAATATGTTGCTCACTGTGTTAAATCAGCAGGAACAGGAAAATCTAGTAGACTTGAAAGATTTTCATATACCCATTGCTCCATTGCTGAGATAAAAAATTAAACAGAATTATAAGTTTACATATGACAGATATTATGTACACCTAGCAGTACAAACTGGTACAAACGTGTAACGATTGTTGGTATTACACTCTATAGAAGAATTATTCAACTTATTGATTCAACTACATTAATCAGTCTATGCAAGAAGAAAATGATTTTACCATTGAATATTTCACTACTATTCGCTTTACCTACCTACATCAAAATGTAAAAGCTATTATATGTATATTCAAATTATTCAAATGGCAAACGTTCGTATCGGTTTGAAAAAATTGAAATTGAAATGTTAAGTTAAAAGAAATGCTTTACATGTATTTTGGATATTTCTGAACTATAAATGAACAATTTAGCATTCAAATTCCAGATAACAGATGGATACTTCCTTTTCTGTTGAATGTAACCAGATCTAACTGATTCGGCTAAGATCGGGCGAGTTCGGAAAACTAGGCAGTCAGTGTGGTCTGGTGTGGCCCGCTTCTTTACAAATATCTGTCACGTTCGGTCGCGTCGTACAATGAGTATACAGCTGTCAATAATAAATGTTAAAACAATATTGTACAGGTCGTATAGTATCTAGAATATAATTCCATTTCCAACTCTCATTTGAACTCCATTCGGTAGGGATATCTCTTGAGTGAAACGTGTGAATTTTGCATATGGAAAAATGGATCTCCGGTTAGTGCATTTATGCATACTAACTTTGAGCTGCAGTTTCGCGCAAGATATTGATCTTGGAACTGTAATATTTGCCAATGTAGTAAGTTTGATAAGAATCTTTAATCTTGAAGCATATAAAAACGTTTTTCATTTACTATTTTATAAAGAAGACTGCTATTTTAAGTTTGTTCAAAACAGAGTAACCTCTAAAGTAACTGTTTTTCTTATATGTTTTTGTAATCTCATTTGAATAGAATTAAAAGCATATTTTTCAATATTGTGATTCTAACAAGAACTGTTCTTGTTATTACTGAATAGCTTGAATATTATTTTGCAATGAATTTTTAGTTGTGTGCTTTGTTTTTAAGTAATGAAAATTTGATTAAGTTATCATTTTAGGTATTTCTGTATGTTAATGTTTGTGGATCCAATTTTACTTGGTATTCAAATGCATATTATACTATTGTACTTTTGTTCTTCAAAATGAGTTATTTATTTTGATAACACATTTGTCTATTTATAGCTATTTAGGCATGGAGACAGAACACCTCTAAATCCTTATCCAACTGATCCTTACAAGAATGAATCGCTATGGCCTGTACCTTTTGGTCAATTGACAAATGTAAGCCTTAAAAATTTGGATTCCGTTATGTTATGTTAACAATAGTATAAGACAGAGTGACATTAATTCCCTGTATATTCTAAATTTGTTCATGGAAATGTGATACTTTAAGTAAGCCTTGGCTGCACACCAGATGTCACATTTTTTTTCATTTTGTTGGCCTATTTCACATACCCTGTCCTTGCGCAGTATATGAAAATGTATATTATGTAAACCTGTTGACTTTCACTTTCTGTTTCTTAAATCTGTTGCTTAAAAATCATACATTGATATAGTCTTTGAGCCTTTATTATCATATTATTTATTTAGAATTTCTTACTTTGCAAACAATATAATTAATTAAACGCAATATTAGAAAAATCAATTACACTGTCTTGTCTGAAATGTATTTCTATTGAACAAATTTGAAATATACTACCTACTGTTGTATTGCATAGACAAGTATTTGTGATGCTTCTAAAAGAAAAACAGCAGAGATTCTTATCATTGATAACATATAAAAATTTTATCTGGTGATAATTAGCTTGGCAGACACCGACATTTATTACTTGGTCGTTGGCTCAGAAACCGATATGAGCATCTTCTACCAGATACATACTCCTTGTATGATATCTATGTCCGAAGTACAGACGTTGATCGTACTCTAATGTCAGCAGAAGCAAATTTGGCAGGCTTATATCCACCTAAAGATAAACAGATTTGGGACAATGACATCAAATGGATGCCAATACCGATTCACACAATACCTGAAAAGCAAGATAATTTATTGGCAGCTAAGAAATATTGTCCAAAATACGATTATGAGATAGAGAAACTCAAAAACTCACCAGAAATTCAGCGAATCAATAAGGAAAACGAAAAGCTTTATATTTATCTAACAGAGCATTCTGGAAAAAAAATTGATTCTCTGGAATCCATTGAGTATCTTTATGATACTCTTTCTATAGAGGTTGGTATCAGACAGTATGTAACGCTAATTGAAAAAGTATTAAACCAAAAAATATTTATTTGTAAATAGTGTAAGAGTTTGGAGTCCTTATATAATAAGTGATGGCATTGGAATTATTATCAGTATCTATATTCCTTGGCAGATGGAAATATAATAACTAGAATAATAACGTCGTTTGCGACAGTGTTATTTAATCGCATTGATAAAATGTTTAATGCTAACAAAATTGACATATTCAATACTTTATATTTTATGAGTCTAAAACTTTTCTTTAAAAGTAACATAGAAAGTATTGTATCTATAATATGTTGTTTTCAGAATATTTTTAATCTCACTTTACCTAAATGGACGACACCTGTATTTCCATATAAAATGCAAAAACTCGCTTCAATGGATTTCAAACTTCCTGCTTATAATAAAATACTTCAACGATTAAAATCAGGTATGTTACAATTGTAATTTCCATTTTCTTTATTACTATTGTACAGCTGCGACTGTAATATCAGATTTTTTAAAATCGTTGATTTAATTATTATTTTTAATAATCGGTTAATTTGTCCCTGTCCCTCTATTTTAACATATTCAATGCAAATGAAAATGTGACCATGACTACACGTATTATGAATCATACAAGATAAGAAATGTACAATGAACCTTCTTTATACGTCATTATTATTCTTATTTAAATTGCAGTCATGAATTCTATTATTTACGTTTTATCCCAATATTACTCTGCAAAAAAGTGTCTTTTATCATCAGCACTACATAAGAAAAATTGATAAGACTACATTAATGCTTGTATTATGCATAACGGAGGTGATAAACAAGTATCTCTATTTAATTGGTAATATAATAATCATTATGAATGAATCACTTATGAAATACATGTGAAAATTATACATTCATTTATCAATATCATGAACTGAAAACTCACAATTCTTCAGTTCAAGGTATATCTGAGTTTTGAAAACAGTGCATCCTTGGTAGAAGCAAAGTTCGAACTTTAATGATCTTGTATGACGCTGAACTATGCTTAAATCCTTGACAAACATTGATACAAAATACTCTGTACTTAGACATAGCAAACTGCTGATACTCCTTTGATAAGTTATTTGTCATCGCTTTATTAACTTCGTTATAGATATTGCTTATATCGCAGGGCATTAGTTTGTGACATATTTCCCTACAATACAGTAGGGAAACAATTGAAATTCATTATTTTTTTCGACTTATATCATTTCATGATGTTAGGTTTATTATTGGGTGAAATGATAAATCATATGGTGAAGAAGCAGGAAGGTGCTTTGTATCCTGATAGAAAATTGTGGATTTATAGTGCCCATGATACTACGGTAGCTAATTTATTAATGACTTTGGGTGTATTCGATGAACATTGTCCACCATACACTGCTACAGTCCTCATGGAATTAAGGGTTAACACCAAAGAACAGTACTTTGTTACGGTTAGTGAAGAATTCTTCAACTCTATTTCTTGATAATTTGACTTAATCCCTTTATTACTCTTTACAGATCTCTTATAAAAATTCAAGTGCCGAACCAACTCTCTTAACAATCCCAGGATGCTTGGCATTGTGTCCCTTACATCAATTTGTCAAACTGACAAAGGATACTATTCCTGAAGATTGGGAAAAGGAATGTGTATTAGATTGGGAGCAGCACGAATCCAGTATAAACTTGACGACGATTTTTGGTAAGAAGAAATTGCCGATTGTATTTTTATCATAGAAATTTCAAGAACTCTGACCAATCACAGCAATTGTTATTTTCAAAAGAATTATAAGAAACCAAAATTGGCTTATCTTTGTTAAAGTATTACACGTGAGATAAAACGAACGAATCATGCAGTCAAGTAGCCTTATCATTTTTACTGCTATATATGCAGTTTATTTAATCTAGCGTGCGGACTCCATCCAAGAGATTACCCAGCGACTAGCATATGCTTACCACTATAAAATCCGGAACATTGCGTGAAACACACTGTATATTTTTATATGGTACATGTCTGATAATCTCAAGCAGTTATTAATGTCTCTTAATATTATTATTGCCTTTGTTCCAGGCATATTGACATCGTCTATTTTGATGCTAATTTCATTGGTGTTCATGATTATCGGATTTGTGTATTGGCACTACAAACGAGAACATAATCAGTATTATCGTCGGCTGACCACGGATCCAATTTAAAGAGAATTAAACAGTTATTGCACGTGATAGTTCCTTGCATATTGTAATGTGGCTATTGATGGAATATCCAAGCATCAAAATATAAGATACTGGCAAATGGAAATTACTAGGCTTATAATTTATGTGACCCGATGCATTGATCTTTGCTGTGAAATAAATGTTCGGATATTTCATCAATAACATGTTTCTAAAAATACGTTTGAATTTAAATATATGATGATTAATATCGCGACAGTTGAAGTGCGAAGAAAATGATTGGTTGAAGTATCCTCGAGATTCTTTGTGGATTATTATCACAAATGAGTTACTATTTTGTTGTTTCCATTTGATACTGAAACTACATATAGGTAAACTATTCGAAAATATATATAGATTGTGTTCAGAGAATCTTTGAATTCTGAGGTTAAAAAAAAGAGAAAAGAGAATTTAAATAAAATTCAAAATCTGTGGAGATCAAGTAGAAATATACAAGGTGTTCGAGCACAGACCTTGAAAGACGATGTGGCTTTGAATGTGTAAAGACACTCCCGGATGTACCGGATTTGATCCGTTTATAATAAACATTGGAAAAGTTGTGAGGAGATGATTCAATGCATGAATTGAGCTTGGTGGGAAGGTGTTTCTTTATACATTCGAAGCCATACCTGTTCTCAACATCTGTGCTGGGACACCCTATATATATTTTTTTAATTTTGCCATGAATTGAAAGTTTATAGTATAGTTTGCAAAGATTAAGAAATATACGATATCTTTTGGATTTCCCTACAGTCTCATTAAATCTTATTTAGTTTTGATGATATTCTCTAAATATGAAACTTATGAGAAGTTCATTGAAATTTGTATCGAGATAAAAAAATTAGTTACAAATGTATTCCGATGGAATGGTGCATATTTTATTGAAATTAAATGATCTTCATGTAATTTAATTAACGTTTACACAAATCGATTTTTATGTATATGGCAATTTATTTGAACTTTTTATCAACTTTCTGCTAGAAAATATGTATACAATATTACGTATAAATTATCTCCTATGCATTTGCCAAGGTAGTAGGTTAGTAAGTTATTTAAATAGAGATTTACTTGTGATCTATCAATTAATTTAATATTATTAAACGAATATTTGTGACATTTTATTATCATCTAAGGAAGACAAAATCCCATTACGATGAAAATATTTATAACAAGGTGCCCATTACATTGCATAATTTGATTATTCAATCATATACACAATTGTTATTCATGTTCATAATTTTTGAAACTTATATCGAAATTAATTAATGTTTTACAAATTCTGTTTACTTACTTCGATTATATTAGTTTAGAAATGAAGCCGGAAACTGAGCCAAGTAAATACATATATTAATTAAATGTATACTGATTTAAATCTTGAAACAATTAATGTTCTAATATTTTGAGTACAATTAGTCAAATTAAGAGTTTTAACGTTCTAAGTAATTATGGCTTCTGCATACAAAATCTATAACTTGATATTGCAGTGGAAGCTCGATTATTTGAGCTATTGTGAACCGACCTCAACTCGGGGTAATTCTGTCGATTAGCCCCTTTTCCGAAAAAAGCCTATAGAATTTTTTTTTCACCTCGATTGGCTTGTTGGCATGTTAAATAATGAAAATCAGTCGGGGAAGCCGGAATTTTTTTTTATTTTTTTATTTTAACCAAAACCCACTAAACAGACATAACGTTCTGCAATGACCACACACACACACACGCGTTTATATATATATATATATTGTAACGTTCCGACCTTATACCCCCCTATCCTTTATCCTTTTTCCTTCCCAATCATCATTCTCGATGATGGATACGTCAAGAGCCCCAGATAAGAGTGCATAGCGCACTGTGGATGTGCATAACAGTATCTGAGAGAACTCCTCAAATCCTAGAATTCCTCAAGAATCCTATCGACCTCTCACAGCGACGCCGATAAAGGAAAGAGAATATAGGACCTTTAATTCTCTAATATTGCATAATTCCCTTGAAACTAGTCACAGCGACAGGCATGAGGAAGTAATATTATAAATTATTACCTTTAATATTCCTAGAATCCGAAATACAGTCGACAGACTGAAATCAAAACAAACAAGTGCCCAGACGCTATAAGCCAGCACGCGCCGAAGACAATAGAAATACCAGTAAACCGGTACTTGAAGAAACCGTTAATCCAATTAGTCAAATCAAACAATCAAATCAAATAATAAATCAAAATATTGAATCCAAAAAGCGACGTTAACACCTCGGGTGGATAAAAATCGTCATCCCCACTAGTTTTAACGTATGCCTATTGAGGATATAAGCAGCGGCTTCCTCGATAGGAATTCAGTCGGTCCTCTCGTATCTATCTAGACGAATTAACAAGACCCTTGTACATTACAAGACGACAAGAAGCTAGTAAAGATTTGGAAAGTGTAAATCATCAAAAAGCTAGGAGAAAACCAATCCTCTGTTCCAGAGCGAACAAAATTCATTCGGTCCACTCGTATCTATCTAGACGAATCGACAAGACCCTTGTACTCCACAAGACGACAAGAAGCTAGTAAAGATTTGGAAAGTGTAAATCATCAAAAAGCTAGGAGAAAACCAATCCTCTGTTCCAGAGCGAACCAGTGAACAGTATTGTACTGCAAACTGTGGGAACTCATCCTCGGCAATTTCCTGGTCTTGGAAAGCATTGTGTCTCCACCCTGTATCAGGAAATCTGCCATCCTTGTAGATATTCTGCATCAAAGGCATTGTGCTGGAGCTGTCAGAAATCGACCACTACAGAACAACCACACTCCTTAAAAAGTTCAGCTCCCAATATCATTGTGATTAGTAGCTGTCTGAGTCGAACCTATCCTTAAGATAAGGAATTCAGCAAACGGGGTTCATTGTGATCTCCTGTGGGTACTGAATCATTATCATCCGAACCAATAGCTGGCCCACGGTCTTCGGACGTATTGTGCAATCTGCTGTATTGTGGTTCCAGCTACCTCTCTCCAATCCAAAAGGCTAGCAGAGAGAATAAAGTAAACAAAAACACTTCTTGTCGCCTGTGGTATTACAGGCAAGCTGGAGACAATTGTAAAGCGTGGGTATATGTGTGAGACAGAGCAAAATAGAGTATTAAGGATACCTAGTCTGTAATTTATAGGACAATATATCATTATTTTATTATTTTAAAAACTCCAGTGTCTAAGTTGTTTCTGAAGACGCCTGCCCAGTGCACAAACCCTACAAACAGTCTCGTGATTCCTAACACTCAAAACACCATGAAACGTCTCAATATGTATGTCCACGGGATACTTTGGGGACCCAAAACATTAAGGGGTCAAACCTGCAAGCTAATGTTTTTTTAAAAAAAAAAAAACTAGAACCTTGGGGTGTGACAGCATTGGAATTCTAAGCTAAACTAACCTAACGAAACCTAACCTAACCTAACAATATAAACAATTTTATTAACAATAAAAAAAATATAAACAAATTCGGTGTGAGAGTCACCTTTATGGGCCTCAAAACAGTCATGTCTGTCGTATGTGTGTGTGTTTGTGCATGCGTGCGTGGTGTATGAGTTCATGTGTGTATGTGCATATATGTGTTGAGTGTAAATTGTGATAAATTGATGAATCCGTTTTTTGCCTGAAAAAGATATTTGTACCCAAAAATGTTAGGCTCCCCCGACGAATTTTTACTACGACGGATGGTTGTAAGCCACTGCAACTGGAAAACAAAATTTCCGGCCATTTTTCGGAAAAGGGGCTAATCGACAGAATTACCCAACTCGGATAAGACGGACTCAATTCTGTAAGGAAATAGAAGCTTATTTTATGTAATAAGGCGCAACATCTCTCGTCTACTGCGAACGCACCCTTTGTAATACTATGTGAAAAATCAAACTTAAATGTATAGTGTGTATGTACCACTTAATGCACGTCATATGTATCAAAGCACGTCTTAAAAAGCTCAGATAATACGGGTTCACGCGAATCTAATGAGAGCTCAATTATTCGAAAACTCGAATAAAGCGAGTTTGAAAAACCGGGGTTCCACTGTACTCTTCTTACGTATGCATTGTACTATAAAAGCGCTAATATTTCGGAAGTAATAGTACATTATGCAACAAGGGAGTAAAGTCGTTCATTATTCCCGCGGGTGAGAGTGTACTGCCCGAGCGAAGCGAGGGCAGTAAATCACCCGAGGGAATAACCGACTTTACTCTCGTGTTACATATAGTGCTTTCTTCACGACTGAGCTATAATAGCCACTTTATTCCCTGAAAAGTGGAACCAAATCAGCCACCGTCATTATGATGGAAATATACGTTTTTTCAAATATTCAAAAAATTCAAAATTTTCAAAAATTTTTGAAATTTTCAAAATTTAAAAAAAATAAAAAATTTTTCGAGAATACAGTTCATTATTCCCGCAAAATGCGGAAATAAAATAAATTTGCGGGAAAACCAAATTTGCGGGAATAAAATGCTACTTTAGTTCTGCTTTTCAGGGTATAAAGTGGCTATTATAGCTCAGTCGTGAATAAAAGTATTTTATGTGTAGTCATATCGACTCTGAGTCAAATGTCGACTTTTTGTATCAATGCATGCATAAATATATTCTTACACAATTCGATATATTTTGTTTGCAGAATATCATATGTAAAGAGTAATTAACATACGAAGATAACTTTATTCCCGAAGGTTAAATATAAACAAACGACTAAAGTATCAATATAACATTGAAGAATCTGCTCAATATTATGTAAAGGTTATAAATATATCAAAATTATACAGATTCATTAAAAATATCATTTATTAATTTCCCTACATTTTTATACAATGATAATACGAGGGCAACCACCAATATCACAAAAATGTTACCATTGAAAAACAAATATTTTAATATATTATACATACAAATAGTTAATGCGCTTCTAAATAATTGGTGCTATATTTTTTGTTCTAAAGAATACATTTTAAGATCACATTCTGTGTTAACTCTAACCGGTTCTTCCAATAATTTACAGAGATACGAATATTTTATATAAAAATACGATATTTTTAAAAATATATAATTCTGGCGTTAATAATATTTATCCTTGAGCATATTCATCATTCATAGTATTTAAACAATAGGATATCCTTCTTTATGAGTAAGGTTTGGGGAAAGTTCCAATTTTTGTGACGCACCTATTTTTTTTCTTAAAAAAAAAACTTTTTACGCTCTTTTGCTTTAATTTGCAATATACATTGAGACGTTTCGCAATTTTTGAGAAGTAGAAATCGCGAGACTTTTTGAGGGGCTTTTACACTGAGCAGGCGTCTTGGTAGGAAAGAACACTTGATTTTAAAAGTAAATAATCGTAATATATTGTAATTGTAATGTATTGTAATCGAGATGGTATTTCTCAAGCTTTTATTGCTTCTTGTCCTTTTTTGGTATACACTGGTTGTTGTGACTAACAACGGAACTTAACACAAATGAATTCCTGTCGAGGAAGCTGCTGCTTATATCTTCGAGAGAAATACGTTAATTTTAGTGGGGATTTTTATCATCCCAAAGTGTTAACGTCTATTTTTGATTTGATATTTGATTTAGTATTTAATTTGACTTTTAATTTTACTAATAGGATTAGCGTTTTATACAAGTACCGAGTTAATGGTTTTTCGTATCGTATTTGGCGCCTACTGGCTGATAGCGCTTGGACACTTGTTTTGATTCCAGTCGTTCGACTAGTTTTTGAATTCTTAGAATTATAAAGGTAATAATCTCTAATATTATTTTCTCATGATTTTCGCTATGACTAATTTCAAGGGAATTATGTAATAGTAGAGATTTAAAGGTCCTATTTTCCTTTTTCTTTATCGGCGTCGCTGTGAGAGGTTGATAGGATTTTTGAGGAATTTTAGGATTTGAGTTCTCTCAGATATAATTATGCACATCCACCGTGCGCTATGCACTTATGTGAGGCTTTTGACATATCCATTGCCGAGAAAGGTGGTTAGGAAGGAAAGAAGATAAAGGATAGGGGGTTATAAGAGCGGAACGTTACAATATTATATTGCTCATGCACCTATACAGACACAATCACATTTTATTGATGAAAGCACTCATTAATAACGATGCAACATTGCTTTCATATATTTACTTTGTAAAATCATAAGAGGTTCAACAAATTGAACATTATCACAAATGTCACTGAAGTTTTAAAGGAGGAACGTTCATGTTTTAAGCTATAAAATATAATTTACTTAACAACGTATATTTTACGTAAAAACACTTTTGACTCTCTTCTTCTGCGTTTCTTGTTTCGATTGTGCTTTTTACATTTGATAACAATCAGTACGTAGGAAGATTTGCAAAACTCCCATGTATGCCATCTTGAATGGTAAATGCCGTATTTGTTCTGAAACATTTACATTACACTTATCACTGACATATATCTAATTAATTAACTAATTTAAATTACTTTTCAATCTTTGGAGCTAATGATCAAATGTCTCAAACAGTATGTTTCTCTTACCTTTTTTGGAGGTTGCTGGTTAATCGCATCCACATCAAGTTTGCAAGTTCAAACTTTCGCAGGTTAAAAATTGCCATGCAGACAAAGGTTTTGGTTAATTAGTCGAAAAAAAAGAAATTTTCATAGGAAAGCAGAATCACAAAGCAGAACAAGAAGCGGATACACGTAAATAATTGTTAAGTTTCTTCATAGATGTGTTATTATCAACACAATTTAATATCAATTAACACAGAGGATTATGGATTTTTATGATTGTGCATTTCAATTCCTTTTACCTTATGATACTTAAAATCCATTTTAAGTTGCATTCACTCAATTATTTATTAGAAAAAATTGGATCACTTAATCCAATATATATATATTATACGTATAATATATATATATGTATATAAAGTTCCTATTTTTTTGTAAGTCTTACAACAGTCTTTATATGTTGTGATAACGTGATAAACTTATGATAGAAAACGAACACAGAAATACATACCATACACTATTCATGCTGACGTCACAAAGTATTATAAGCTTGAAGCTTGGTGCAATAAATGTTTTTTATATTAGGAACTGTAGCTAGATTTAATTCAGCTACTCTAGTCGTTTATATTCGACTAGCTGTCCAGAGATGTTTCCGACGTATTGAAGAAACTACGAATGAAAATGTCATTCTCAAATTTATGAATCAAAATTGTATTGTAGACAATTCATTCTTTGTGAATAACTCAAACAATGATTATTAGTGATATCGAATAAAGATGATCCAAGGGTAAGTAATTGAATAGGATAATATATGAGATACCTTATAAAATAAATAATTCTAAATAATTTAATTAGATGTTTCATGAGCTAATTTAATATGCACATTTTAGAATATTCTCAGTAATATATTCTGTGTCTAGCAAATAATATGATCGATCTAGACAGTTTTTATTTTAAATATTTATTTGAAAGTCGAAGGAAACGCAACATCAAATCGATCACACTAATAAGATGTATGACTGATTTATAGGCACGATCAGAAATGCATGTTGCTTATATTTTACTTACCAGAAGTTATAATTTCATATTGAAAACACCCAATCGGCAGGGAATTAAACATTGAGAAAAAAAGCATTCAATTTAAAGCAAGAAGCAGTGTGCACATTTTTCGTGATTGTTGTAATAAATCTGTTTGCGAGGAACAATTTGTGACAAAGATAACATGGTTTTACTAATACCAAGATTTTAATATAAAAAAGCATAACGATCAAATGCATTCCAACATTGACTTATTGATCAATTTTATTCAACTTACCTAGAATAAGCAGCATGATTGGATAAACCGAAGTTTGGGTCCACCGGTCCACCGATGTATTTCGTGACAAACTGAAATAATACAAAAATGCACCGTATTAATGAATAAAGTCGTTAAATATCTTTGCATAAATAAAAAGTAATGAGAAAAAAGACTATTTAAATCTGCTACACACCCAATTGTCCCTAAAGGTTGTTGATCCCATGCTTACGGCCATATGTAGTGCCAAATATAAACAGAAAGCTAAATATAATATTGCAAATACAGCAATAGCTAAAATGATAGCCCAATGATGTGGTATATCCTCTTTAACAGTGTTGATCACAAAGTATATGTTTATCGATATCACTAGCACGGATAACGCAGTGGCTACGATTTTGTTTCCTCTAAAACACAACATAATTTGTATCCATTTAAACTAACGAAATTGATTGTTATAATGAGCTTGCAACAATGCTTACAATCCATTTTTAAATTCGCCCATGATTTGAGGGCTACTAGTGAAAGCTATTGTAGGTAACGTGGCGAAAGGCAGTTGAAGACTCATGACAGCATTCAATAAGTCATTCATTCCACTTAAGTCATCAATATGAGCAAAGAAAGCAATCATAAATGTTGGAACGATGGCAATTGTTCTTGTAAACAAAACTCGTTTCCAACGGGCCCACTGGAGGTTCAAAAATCCTTCCATGGCGAATTGACCAGCATACGTGCCTGTCATCGTTGATGACTGACCAGCAGCTAAAATACCAACTGCCCATATATACATAGCTGCAGCACCAAACTGACAACCCAGATAGATGCCACCCTTGTAAAGATCGGCATCAAACGTGTTATTGTCATTCTGAAATAAAATAAAACTTCGTATATTACAGATTCATTTTTATAAATACTCAACTGAAGTATACTAAATGTCTGTGTAAATATGCTCACCGTAAACGTTTCCATACCAAGAGTATAGTTATGAGCTTCGCAAACTGCATACTGAAGTAATACAAAAGTTAGTGAAACTAGATATGTTTATTCTTTTGATAAGAAAAAACCAATATTGGATATTATACATATATATATATATGTTTAATATTTTGTTATCTATACTTACAACATCTTCATTCTTTTTCTGATACAAGCCGTCTGCAAATACTGCGACCACGAAGACGTTGATTAAAAACGATACGAATAAGGCGATACAGGCTTCGACGAAATAATACATGTTGGCTTCTCTGATCTTAGAAGGTTCTTTGCGATCAATATCTCTTGACTGGACATAAATTTAGAATATTAAGTAACTGCACTTATTACAGTCATAACTTGTGTACATGTGTATGCATCTTTCTTGCTTACTTTAACAAGAGCGCTGTGAAGGTAAAGATTATGCGGCATTATAACTGCACCAACAATACCAACAGCTTGCAGTAATGCTCTATTATCACAGTCCTTACACCATGGTGTGAACATGCCTTTTACAACTTCATCTTGTGGTGGTGCTGATACGATGTACTAGAAACATTGATATCTCATATTATTTATTCTTACGATATTTTAGATGTCATTAAATGATTGGTGATTTTACTGAATATAAAGAATCCAGCAAACATATAAAAGTGGCCCAGTACTCAATAGCTACTGGTCCATTGATAGATCCAATTGACCAGTGGCCCGCTCTTATCTATTTATCGAGAGATGTCATTTCAAGATTACCATAAGGTCATGATTAAATTAAATAAGTCAAAAGGATTTAGACAAACCACAATAGGTAATGAAAAGTTACTGTATTACACTGAAAAAAAAATGATAAATGAAAAATATTTTATATAACTTAAAAATGCGTTTAAAGCAGCAGCTTGTTTTCAGATTTCTTGTATTTTTATATAGATATGTTCATTACCTCGTAACCAAATGTCACAGCCATTATTGTAATGAGAAAACCAAAGAAAAATTCAAGTTTTCGCAAGCCATATTTGTCCAGAAATAAAAAAGTGAATGTATCGATGACTGTAATTAGAACTCCACCCCATAGTGGAACCCTATAATGTTAAACAAAATATTTCTATAGAAATATTTATTTATTATTTACTTAGTATATAGCAAATAAATGTCTGTTAGCTTTAAGTGTCTGCGAGTGATCGAGTATGATACTATTAAAAAGGCTTATAATTTACAATATAAACAAATTGATATTACCTAATATTCAGACTAGAAATTATCTTATAAAAAAAATAGAGTTGGTGAATCATTCAGAGTGAAAGTAGTGATTTTTAGTGTTTGAATTAAGTAATAATAAATATCAGTGGTGAATACTCACATCTTATTTGATAGAAGGTATATGGCTATTGCAGTTCCTATCACTTCTTGCATATCGCTTCCGATTATAGCAATTTCAATCATTATCCATAAAATTAATCTTGGTGCCTTCTTATATTGCCTATAACACATTTCTGCTAAATGAAGACCCGTCACTACACCAAGCCGAGCACTTAATCTCTGCATGATGAGTCCAAGAATTGTTGCACTCATTAAAACCCATAATAACTGAAAAAACATTTTTATTTAATGAGATCTTTTTCTTTTAAGAAATGAAAATAAATGAGAAATTTCTGAATATTTCATTGGTAACGCTAACTTACTTTGTATTTTGCAACTACACCAGATTGTAGATCAGATTCTATATTTCCTGGATCAAGATATGCTATGGACATCAGGAATCCAGGACCTGTGAATGCCCATAATTTCCGAAAACTAAACCAGGTCTGTAATCAATTATTATAGAAGAAACTATATTGCTTTTACGTTTTATTCTGTTTAGTGTTAATAAAATGTAGATGGAAATCCTAATCTACTTTTATGTAAATGATGTAAACGGACCGTATCTACATTAGGAATAATAATCCTTTCATCAGCAAAATATGTCTGGTTGCTGTTTGGGGATAAAATACTGCTCTCGTTGACTGTTCTCTCATTTTGCAGCCTTTGCGTTGATGATTGTTCTTTTCTTGTGCCATTATGTAATTCATCAGACTCATATGCCGTATTATCCTGCATATTTGAAGTTGAGCTTAAATCTAGAAATAGATATATATTCAATTTTATTGCAAAAATCAATAACCAAGAATAAATCAAATTTGAAAATGAAATATTTATTTCTGGAGTTTGTAAAAATCTATTTAAAAATCATTAGCAGTATTCAAAAATATACTAGAATTAATATATCTGCCTTTTCACAATATTGTAATTAATCAAGATTTGTTTGTTACAAATTATTAAAATAGATTTTAAAATGGGTTTACTAGAACAGTTCAAACTGTCTTACTAAAAGGATCATCTAATCTTTTATACACATATATGTGTATAATAGTAGTAATTTATAAATAGTTTATATAAATTACAGTTTGTGATAGTCATATAAGCCAGTCATATGTTTATGACTGTAAAGTCTTTACTATTTATAATATCAAATGATACTATACTATGAAACAGAAAATGTAACTTGTGAAATAAAGACAATGCATAACTACTGTCACTCATTCTTGTACAACCAATTATAAAAAGTCTGAAATTAGAAGCACTTATTACACACACAATCAAGAAATTTGATACTGTATCTCTAATACTAGAACTCTGAATTTATAAACATATTCATAGAATTATAAACATAGATATACGTTATAATACTTGTATAACACATTCAATGATTAATATATTTTGACTGCACTGTTGACAAGCATATTATTGACCTGTTACATTCAAAACAGCAATATAACAACCACACAGTTTATAATCACTTGCGTCCTAAAATTCTAAAGTAAAAATTCTATGACTTGTATGAAGGAGTAGCATAAAGTTTATTATAACGAACATATAACAGGGAAAAAGACTGACATATAAATGATCATCACTATCCATGTTTATGAACCATTGATAAAGAAGACTACAGCAATCAACATATTAGTAACATACAATCTCCCTAAGGTCAACGGTAAGATTGTGTTTTATAATGTGACCCAATATCTGTACATAAATACCATATTTATAAATATTATATATCAGCAAAATGATAAAGCGTAAGGTTAAGAAATGTATACTAGCACAAGATTCCAGTGTAAAATCACCTGGCTGACAAATTAATCACTCATACTTACTCTTCATTATCATTTACAATCTTAATATAATAGTATGTAACTAATCAGAATAGAAAAAAGGAAAATGAGTAACTCACAATTCTACCCACCACAATCTTATTACGTTCACTGAATATGACTACGCGACCCAATCCTACCGACTGCTGCCAATTTACTTTGTCCACAGTGGAAAAGCAGATTCAAACCGACTACTTTGACACAACCAGACACAACTGTCTACTGCCTCCATGTCCCCTCTTAATATTCTACATCGAGATTGGTAGATCATGAACAGGGAACATGGATACAGATATTCACAACTACATTCTACAGATTCCCTTCCATTACAGCATTCTTTCCTGTATTGAAAAAGTGGGGAGATTGGGAAATACCAAACGTGTGGAGCAAGTATCTAGTATACATATATATATTGACTACTGTGCAACTGAGATTGGGGAAGAACAGAAAGTGACAGTATTCCCAGAACTATTTATTGTTACCAATCACATGTATTTGAGATTTCAAAAATCTATCGAAATTAAATAGTAACACATGAAAATATATCTATAATCACTCACGGACCAACAGAGCTGACAGTTATGTTGTAATTATATCTTATATGATAGTTCTTATAATCTCATTAACTGCATTCTTAGAGATCACGTTACGTACTGGATATTATGTTCCAATATTCTGTCTCGGGGGATGAACTTCTTTACCTATTCATTCAGGAGGTATAATATATAATACGGTAATTATTACTGTACGAAGCAGTATACATATGTGAATCATAGTCAGCTGGAAGATCAGTTTGAGTTTTCTGAATGATGAGTTTTCGTTTTTGATAAGAACAAGGACCCTTTATGCTTGTCAGTCGCCTTGATGATGACTTTTGTCGTATGTTTTCGTATGTTAATTTGGGTCAGGTATACTGTAGAAATAGTGATGCCAATGAATACCAATGTACTGTACTTCCCCGGAAAGAGTACAATACATGACAATCTTATGTAAATGTAAGGTCTTAAGCATATTCCATTTTTATATACTCATTGTTCAAACTGTATAGAGTATAATGAGCCTTGAATAATTTTTATTTTATTATGTACACATGAGAAAGTTGTTGGACATCATGGCTACGTTATAACCTAATCGTTTGAGTATAAAATCAAATTGAAATACATCCAAATGACTTACAGTGTACCTGGTCCTAGAGTATCTTTGAGTATAAAACCAAATAGGATCAAGAAGAAGAAAAAGAAGAAATGACATACAAATATTTCCGGAGCGTGGGTCGCGTTAATTCGTTTAGCAGATCTATCATAGAAATGTAGTTTTCTTATATAGCAAGTCCAACGCTCCCGCAGAATGCAATACATACAACATTAACAGTAGATATTACAGTAACGTTTGTAGGATATCTAAGCAATATGTATTCGTCAATAGAAATGGCTACAGCAAATCCGTGAAATATTATTCCTATGACTATTCGATATTTAAATTACGAGATTTTACATTTCATCAGGTGTGCGTATTCATTTATAGTATGGAAAGTGGACAGTAAATTAATGATAACCGATTGGCGGGCTCTACTGTTCTTACGAAAATCGTAACATGATAAAAAGTAAACTTTTAACAATGCTGTTCGAACCGTCGGTTAAGCTAGACGTTCCAGCACTAGGTGGGAAATTAAGCGAACAATACGATGGCGACTACGATATATTTAATTATTTATGATTACCCTATATTTGCAAAATTTGGAAAATATATAGAAATAGTATAAAGCTTTCATTATGATATGATTATACAATAAGGAAATTTTGATTACTTAATTAATAACTCATATACTTTTCCTTTCTGTAGAAACATAATGCATCATTAATTCGTCATGCTTTTGATATACAAAGGCATTCGAATTGAAATGTCACAATAGTTATTTATGATCATCTTTTCCAAGTACGCTGTATTGCTGCACCAATTATCCTGGTGGAAAATCCAATAGATGACTGTAGTCTTGTATACATATATCTAAAATAACTCAATCAGGAACTCATAATGTTTGTAATATTTTTACATACTTGATATAGATAATATTAATGCGTAAAAGAAAGTCAGCATCTTGGAAAATTGAAACATGAGGCGTTTGGCATCTTGGACTTTGATAAGATAAGGTTTTCATTGTTGCCAAGTTGTTTTCCATACAGTAATATACGTAATTAATACATCTTTATTGTTAAGATGTTACAGACAAAGGGCGAGAATCAGTTACATAAGTAACTGCTTTGCATTACGACCCCTAAAGATTATATACAGACCTGTTCAGAGTCAGACCAATATAATATTGAAAATTACATTTTTATACTCAATCGTATCACATTTTACAAAATAATGAAAAGGTGGTCGTCGCAGACCGCATCTTATCTTATCAACGAACAAACATTTGTATTTTGTTTATAATATGATTCAAACGCTTTTTATCGCAGGTTAAATGAATTGTCGGATGATGTAAATATACCTGACAAGATGTACATCGCTTTAATATTTTGAATCCCGTAATTAACAAGACTTCATGAATAACACCCCAAATAGTACAAATTACTAACTTGATAAAATGTCTTCAAAAGATTTTAGGTCATGGATTTTGACATCTTATGATGTCTTCAGTGAGAAAGATATGAGGCATCTATAAGAATTCAAAACCCATGACATAAGATCCGACGACGTCTTGCGGATGCCTTCTTCATTTCTGAGCATATACAAAATTATCAAAATTGTATATTATTCATAGAAATAATGTGTCTAACAAAATCTTATTTATTACCCTGCTTTTCATTTAACAGTACACAACGTCCTGAGCTCCGTTTATTTTATTATTATTTAATTATTATAATTTTGTCTCTGTCGTATGCATGGAAATAAACAGAAACGCAGGATTGTTAACAGTATTCGCACAAATTTTGAAAATTCATTCAAAATATAGTAAATATAGTGGTCTAAAGCAATATAGTTAAATATTAATAACATATAGCAAACACTTATTTTAAATTCAGATCCTTAAAGGCATGGAAAACTCAATATATGAATATGTGATGTAATGTGATAAATGTTTTCAAATATCATTTAATAAAAGGTTATTCAAATGTATTACGAAGTTTATTTGTGCAAGAGAGGTTATAATAATGCAATATTTGTATTTCATCAGCTGTTCAAGTCTTGTTCTGTTGTGATACTTTTGGATAGAAGTTTATTATTCCAAATAGGTAAGATTCTTTTCTGCACTAACTTTTATCATTATTATTCATAACTAAAATATGGTAGGTCATGCAACACAGCTAGTCTCTAGATTTATTTACCTCGTGTGATAATTATATTGTTTTCAATTGTCAGTTAACATAGTTGATAGATTATCTGTAGGATAAGAGTTATATGTTAAATAATGATTTCAATCTTTAATTATATATATATTTTGGTGTAATAATTGAATGGATAATAATTGAAAGATTCTGCAAAGGAATATGTCCAGAAGCTCTACATCGCATGTTGCCATTACCAATCCACAGTCTTCAGAGTAGTACCTCGAACCATGAGTGATCTAATACAATTCATCGGCTCAAGTAGAAACCTTTTGTATCGAACTTATATATTTTGATGTATTATTTAATGAAATATTCTTGTTGGGAAGAAAGAGTTATATCAATCTCCTTGTTAAATATGTAGTTGATATGTGGAAACGTTTGATCTTTTAAAAATAAGCAAATATTACATTTTACTGTGGACTGAATCTTATTAATCGTCATTGTATAAGTATGTTCACAGGATGAGGCACTATCTGGATTTATACAAATAATTTTTATGTTGCAACCAGATCTTTATGAAGATTGGTGGAATTCCTTTAAATTTTATATTAGGAATAATAACACTAATCATTGAATATTATGTAAATAATATAGCTTTATTGACATAGAGATAACCATGTGTAGCTTTACTATGCTACAATTCCTTATATGTCTCCATTTTCATTACAGGATCTGCAACTTTCATTCCTCATAATTAATTACCAACTCAGTTGCTTACCAAAGAGCAGCCTTTAGAAATTAGCCGGTACTGCAAAAGGGTATGATTTCTTTTAATTATATTATTGTTTGTGTGACGGACATGCAAATATTTAGCAAGTTATATGTATTAAACAAATAATGTATTTTTCTATATTATAAAGAGAATGGATTGATAAATCATATATTGGGAACATAAATATTTATACTGTATTTAAAAAGCGTTTATTAATAGTTTCTTCTTCCAGGTTTAACTAATATTAAACAGAGTTCCATTAGTGAAAATACCACTGGAAAAAAAGAACTCCTATGATCAATTCTAAAATTGATACAATTAATAATTCCTTTTATCTTTTGAAGTAGTTACTGTTATTCATGAAAAAATTCAACTTGAATAAGATATATATGCATTTGTGCTTAGGCACAATAAACCATTTAATGTTTTCTCTTTTCCAAAAACAATTATATATATAATACATTATTGTTTACATTTGTAACCTCAATCTTACATGATGTAAGTAAGTTTCATGAACAAATGTATTGAAATGGTATAATAAAATGAAATAAGCAAATAATTATTTTTTTGTCATTACTTATACATTTAGCCATTACTTACCTCGTTTTTACAAATGTACTCAATATTTTATTTCAATTTCATTATTAGGTTTATGTAACTTATATACTATGTTTTAAATAATTTTAGTGATGTATATCATATTATAATATATTTCTTCCATGACACTTTATGGTTGTATCCATGTGAACAGTATCGGTGTCATCTTTCAGTATACATATAAGATAGAGTGTCAACAAAGAACATCGAATTCCTCATAATTCAAACAGTCATTAATTCATGATTATCATTGCTGTATAATTTTCTGCTGACCCCTGATTCATATATCCATGCTAAAAAGTACAAAATATTAAATCTGCTATTTACTTATTTTAATTGTTTTCTAAGTTAATATTATAGTATCAGATTTTTAGGAATTTTCAGTAAATTATAATGTTACGTGAAAAAGAAAATTCATAAAAATCTGTTATCAGGATGTCGACTTTAATCAAAGTAATGCAGATATATTTGATATATTTGCAGAATCTGGCATGGAATCTCCAAGTAATGTATCATTAACGTCGTTCTTTGATACGTGGATTTATCCTTGAAGTGGTAGTCAATAGAAAATTACTCAAGAATGACTATCATTAAACAATGGCACATTGATCTGCGAGAACTATTTACGTACTCTATCAAGACGTTGCATTATACACCTAGAAGTACCTCACATATTAAAATACCATTGAGATATACTCATCACATATTTATTGAATAATTCTGCTGGCACTTTTTATTTGAGAAAAAAAGTCTGAAAACGATTCCACCTTGTAACAATAATGTAATCAATTCTAATTTGAAGATTGCAAAATGTTTTTGCATGTATTTGAAGAGTTACCAAACCAACAGGTAAAGTATTGTATATATATATTTGCATGTGATGGAAATCAATTAATAATACCATATATGTTTTGAAATATGTAAATTTGTTAATAACAAATTTTTACATTTCACACTGAAAATACTCCCATTAAACTGTCGAAGTTATTATTTATGTTTGCTGCTACGTTGGTGTTTGGTGTATGCATTATTTATTTATTATTATCCATGTATAATGGCAATTATTTTTTATTAATATTATATATTTCGATCCTCGGATTTTCAGATTTTGAAAAATGGGTCATATATCTATTGAACGTGATTAAACTCAATCAAGATAGGCAGCGCAACACTTTGGAAAAATTGTCAGAGCATATCATCCAGCTACGAATCCCTGAAGGGTATGAATTACAACAAGAAACGATATTACCTAAGCTGCCGTTAACGACTTTAAAAGGATTTCTTAATTTTGAAAAATTGTTGAACACGAATAAAGTAGCAATGGCTCACTGTGTGAGTATTTTTAGTAGTTTATGTCAGAAATTAATTTTTATTATTTTATACAGATTCAGTTATATAATTTCTGCATATACAGGTACAATATTTCAAAAATATTGGAGGTAGTTCATTATCTGACGCTACAAGACGTATATTGTATGCAACGTTTGATAAGGATTTAGCCACTTCCTTTTCCTGGTTAGGACAAAAAAATAATTACAAGCTCAAAGACACAGGATATTCTAAGGCTCTATTTGGTTAGTATATTTTTATATTTATTTGAATTTTGTTATAAAATATATGTACATTATTATTGCCAGAACTCTTGTGCGATTTGTATAAATTTAAGTGGAAATGTTGCTGGATAAGCTTTACATTAGTATTCTGTATTGTATTCTATTTTTTTTCATCTGATTCCATATATTAATATATAAAAGCTTTTCTCTTCGTTATATTATATAATTTGTTTTTATTATTTTAAGCTGCGGTGAAGTCACGTAAATACGAGGATAATATTTGCTCCGATCGTGATATCGAGACTGCTATCATCAACTGGTGCAGACATGCTGCTGATCGTGTGAGAGCTCATCGTTCAAAAGTGTCAAATTAGACTTAGCTGTTTAACTTTTACTTTTTAGTAGTAGTAATTGTAATAATTGGCAATTTAGATTAACCTGTAAGCATAGAAGATTCGCTCAGGATTGCCCAGGTTTAGAAAATATTTACATAATTTCAAAAAAGTGAAAAAAATATAGTGCAGTTGTCAAATAAATCATTAGGATTTATAATTGTTAAAGATAATCTAATTATGTTAATGTTTTAAAAAAAAATGTTATTTCATAATTCTATGGTACTTGGTGAAAAAAATGTCGCAAGATGAATACGCACATATTTGAAGTCTAAGTAAAAATTAAGTAGAATTAGAACAAGAAAAAGTGTCTTTCCTTTCTTTACATCTGGTCATAATGTTTAGAATAATCATTTCATAGATTATATAATTGTTTCATTACATTCTATGAGTCCTTTATATAAGTTAAATATACCCTAATGCATAATAGTTATAGTTAAGGTTTAAAAAAGAATAGCAGAATTATTAGTTATTGAACTCCATTCACAAAGAAATATACTTTTACATAAACTATTAAAATACAGCCTTTATTAGCTTATAATTAAATTATCACCTTTTTACATAAAATTCCTGTATAAAAAAAAAAGAATTCAATAATGTATCCTCCTACTAGTTTGGAAAATGTTCTGATAAAAAGAGAATTAGTGTCCCTATTCAATATTTTTGGTATGACAAAATGTTCTGTTCCAAAAAAGTCTTAAGTGTCCTTGATATATTTCTGGAATATCTTTAAGTCTCAGTAAACATAAAGAAAGTGGCCTAAGTACACAGCATATGATTAGAGTGATCTAAACTGGTGTGACAGGGATTGTTGGTGATATAAGTAGTGGGGGTAATTTAGGGGCGTGGCATACGATATCTCAATGACGTCATATATCGTGACGCGCCTTTACGTGCCGACTTGAAACATCAGTTAAAAAGAATTCTTTTTTTTTTAAGCTACGAGTTTGGCTACCACTTAATACGACATAAACCGGCTGTCGTATGAGTCAGCCTTGTGCCTTCAGCCACTACAGTTAGCCCCACTTGGTAGCAGACCTCCCAGTGTAATTTTGACTGTCACTTCGATAGGAGGTGCCTGAACCTTATAATTACAAGTTTTTGATTGAATATCTGTACATTCGAATCTTGTTCTGATATCAATAACGTTTATTAATAGAGCAATTTATAAATACTACTGACAAGTTCCTTGTGACACTTTCTCTTGTTAATCTTTTACTGTTGCTGTTGAGGAAAACCTTGTGGTGAGTCTACAATACCGCATCTGGGGCGTGATTATTGTCTTTGTATCTTGTACAATGTGATGACTTATCAGTGACGCAAGATTAAACGAACTTTAGTCATCCTGTGGATTGTCCAATAAAATAATTTGGTGTGTTGATTAAGTCTATTGTTTAAGATTTACTCAATTTTAATCATTGTAGGAGAATGACGAACGTTGGAGGTTTGGAACAACAAATTGCTAGCTTGCAAATAAATAATGGCGATGACACCATTAACATTGTCAAGACTGGGAAAAAAATTGCACCTGCTGTACCACCAAAACCGAAGAAATCAAGGCCTCAAGTGAGTGTACATTGTGTTTGTTTTTGAATAAACGAAATTTCTTGTTTTAACATTTTTGTAAGGGTAGTATTAAATCTATTGTTTGCTTGACGAATATCTACTGGTTGCTTTTTTTCGTATTTAGATAATAGGGTACTGATTATAATCACTGTAGTGGTGGCATTGTAATTTATTTACAATGTCAATCTTATTGTTTGTCTGGTAGTGTTATTAATCAAGCCATCTTTATTAAATATAGAAAATTGTTAATATACTTCAGGTACCACAAAGTTATTCACTGAAAGCAACCCCGACACCTTCATATAGTACTGTCCTAAATAATACAGGATTGAGTGATAAAGCAACAAATTTGTATACTAATTCTCCACCATCATATGGGCCAACATCATTGGATGCCGAAACAAATGATTTTGATCTTAAACCACCAAGCAATGGAAGCGAAGTAGGAAAATTCTATCACAATAATGATAATATTTATACTAATCAAGAAGCTGAGAAATTTGAACCAAAATATGGATATGACGAGAAGAACTTTTACTCCAATGTTGGAAATATGCCAGCTTCTCAAGTTCCTGTCGAAGATAAATTGAGTAGAGCATCAAGAAGTGCAGTTTATAGTAATATAGAACCACCAGTACCTCTGCCTATACCAGCTCCTGTTAAAAAAGAAAAGGACTTGATTTACAGCAACATTCAGTGGAATTCGAAACAAGAGAATACATACTCCAACATTCCTTCAGCACACAATACTGGTAAGATTGCTGATGTTGCATATTATATCAAATCTAGCATAATGCATACCTTGTTTTAAAATACTGAGTTAGCATAACTGAAAGCTGAAGTGAAGTGCTTAACACAGTGGCCTAGTGAATTACTATTATGTTGAATATATTGCAGAAGACTTACCTCCACCTCCAGAACCATCGGAATATGTTCCTTGCATACCAACAAATTCATTTCCACCACCGCCAGAAGAACTGCCACCACCTCCAAGTCCAGTATCCTCGAGCTATAGTGAATTGCGTCGTGCCACATATCAGACTGATTTCCCATCTGGTAATTACCCAAATGACATCTATGGAACCAGCTCGCAGTCCAGTTCGACTTATGAATCTATTTATGAACCTATTAATCCAAGACCACCATCACAACTTTCTTGTAATTATTCTGTGTACTCTGGGTATGGTTCGGCACCCCCAGCACAACCCCAGGACAAAGTTTCTCCAGTTAAAGAGGTTAATCTGCATTATCTAATTAACAATATTTTGCACATTTAGAAATGATATAATACCTCATTAAAGAACCTTTAACTAAATAACATAATGGAATTGGATATTGGAATTTACTAAAATTAAATCTTCTCTACCATACAGGTCGATGTTCTCACAGACCTATTGGTACAAGGAATGTCTGATAACACAGAAGAGAGTGATATTTATGGAATTTGTGCACAGTGCGGACGTAAAGTCGAGGGCGAGGGAACAGGTTGCTCTGCCATGGATAAAGTGTTCCATATAAATTGCTTCTCTTGCTTTGTCTGCAAAGTTAATTTGCAAGGCAAGCCATTTTATTCCCTGGAAGGAAAGCCATATTGCGAGGAGGATTATTTAAATACTTTGGAAAAGTGTTGCGTCTGTACAAGACCTATTCTTGATCGGATTTTAAGAGCCACTGGAAAGCCATATCATCCATCTTGCTTCACGTGTGTTGTCTGTGGGCAAAGTTTGGATGGGATACCGTTCACTGTGGATGCCACAAACCAAATACATTGTATCCAATGTTTTCATAAGTAAGTACCACTTATTATACTTTCCTAACTAGAGATATTGGAATAGAGTAAACACTAATTTTACACAATGAATGTTGGAGCACATCATATATGACATTCCGGAATTATGAGCATCATAGCAGTATAATTATATTTTTCAAAGAACTCCAAGAAAAATAAGCATCATCACATAAGTGGTTTAATTACTGTAATAACATCAGTTCAAAATCCAAGCTGAATTGGTCAATCGGTGTGATGCACAATTGCCTTATCTTGACTCACCACACTAATTGACTAATAAGCGCAACTATGAGAGTCATACAGGATGCCATATTTAAACTCATCCTATCACATAATTTTAAGTGACGAAACAAGTAGTATCTTAAACAAAACTTGCTCAATAAACTTTTAAATTTATCGAGTTCATATTTATCTAAATGTACAATTTTAATAAGTAATTATGTTTATCTCACAGGAAGTTCGCACCACGCTGCTGTGTTTGCAAACTTCCTATCATGCCGGAGCCTGGTCAAGATGAAACAGTACGTGTTGTTGCACTAGATCGAAGCTTTCACATTCAGTGTTATAAGTGCGAAGACTGTGGACTGGTATTGTCTTCAGACAGCGAAGGTCGTGGATGTTATCCCCTTGATGATCATGTTCTCTGCAAAAGTTGTAACGCCACCAGGGTTCAAGCTTTAACGTCTCATATGACCACGGAATTATAAACTGATGACACGTGTTATACCAAATAAGCAAATGGCGAATCGCGATTTATCCTACTAATCCTATTGTATATGCTCTCCTTCGTGACACTTTATCAAAAACACTCTCAGCAGATATAACGAATAGAACTGATAGATATATTCTCGGTCTGCTCTTCACTTATTGCAGTTTAATAATGCAACGCCATACTAAGTGTTATTAACGTATGGTCGAAACATAATTTGTAAGATTTTTTTGTTCATCTTTCTGTTCTTGTTATTATCTCTTGTCTCATATTTAAAATGTGTCGGCAATATAGCAGAGAAGAATATTTACTTCTAACGTAAAACTCTAAATTATTTCGTATAGATTAAATCTATTACGAAAATTAATCTTTTGACGTCAATGTAATCCTGTCAATGGAGAGCACTGTGGTTTTATTGATGAACGTACACTACATCTTTCTACTGTTTCTTCTTAACTAAAACTCTCATGTAACTATTTCATTACTCGATATTGAGTGCTACTCTGTGATATTAAGAATGCTCTGAGGAGACATAAGTTCAGAAGCCAAAATGGAATCTGAAAACTACCACAAAGAAAAGGTAATAACATACTTTGGCCTAGTACTTCCAATTTTTTGATAAAACATTATATACGCACAAGGAATGTTTCCATTGAAGTATTTTTTGTTTGCAAAATTGACATTTTTCGTCTCCTGGAAATTCTTAAATAACGGTAATTAAATTAAACCGTAATTCATTTCATTATTTAAGAATTGAACAGTTTGATAAATATTCGCTTTAAATGCGTAGATATTTTTTCTTAGATAAGAAATTTATAAGCTTGCGCTTATCTATTATTGCATTATATTTGTACGAGTTATGAAACTAGAAGATGCGCATTTAATGAATTAAGCGACACCATAGTGTTGTAAATAATACAGTCCGAATATTTTACTATATAATTATTAATTTAATACTTGATTACAAGCATTGAATGTGATTCCTCCTACATAGTAATGATTGATTTAATATAACGCTTTCGACTGCTTTCATTGTGACGTGTAACTGTATGTAAAATTAAGATGAGAGAAATGAATTAAGGAGAAAATCAATAATTTAGAGAAATAAATTTATTATTTGCAAAGATCGCTTATGTATAATTAAATACAAAAGGAAAAAGAATGAATGTCGGAAGCAGCCAAGCCATTTTTATTTAATCAAGATGTTTACGCAATAGAAATATTTCCAATTAATTGATTCGAGTCTGATGTTATATATTCGTCAACTAATATTTTTAATCGAATACTCGTATTACTCTTAGCTGCTATATATTATCTTGATAATGTTTTATTATAAAATAAAATTAAAGAAAAACATGTTCGTTAAGTCGTGAATCATTGGCGCGAATATATTTACAAAATGTATTACTGTTGCAATGATGAATTTATTGATCATTTATCTATACAAACTAGAGTTGCTTTGCGTCAAGTGGTCGTACATTTTGCTCAGTAATTTTTAATGAGAATTACTGTCATTTCAGTCATAACTAACACATAAAGTATTCATTCCAACAGTAGTAAAACAGCGTGCAAACATTTATTATCTCTGATAGAATGCCATTTTATATAAGGTTATGTGCATAGAATTCGTGAATGATTATCTGTAGAAGAGATTATATGTATAAAAATATATAGTCTACTCGAATATTACTTGAAGTATCACGTATAGTATGGACTACGCATAGAGATATAGGAAAAATGATTAGCTGAAAGAAAAACATAGCGACTGGTGGTGGCCAAGCACTGTCTCTTTCTAATCAGCGGTCGTAGACGAGAGTATAAGAAACATAGCTAATGGGAGCATTAGAAAAGGAGAGCAATTAGTCGCCACTTCATTTCCTCTTTGTTTATTTGAGCGGACATTTTTTCGAAGGATCTAAGGTAGGGTCCACGTAGTCCATACTATATGTCGATGACTTCAAGTGTATTTACTTATTTAACCCAAAACATACAGTGGAGTCCGGTTATTACGACTCCGCTGGATTTCGCTTATAACGATAGACCACACATTGCATCCTACTTGCCCCCATAAGTTTCGTTAGAATATGAATACATTCATATATATTTTCATTTTTCTTATTACGTCGTCCATTTAGTACGAAATCATTTCCCTGTTTCTTGAATGTTATAAACAGAGATCAGCAGGGAGATGCACAACGCTCCGGTTTTTGCGATACCAAAATCATGCCGCTAAATCGTAGCGGCAAGTCTGGAAGTAGGATACGTATCTGAGATAGATGTAATAACTTTCCCAGTACTGTCAGTAAATGTCGAAACACACTCTTTGCAGCGCCTGCGATCAAGAATGTATGAAACTGGTCCAAATACGCCGCTCTATGAAATGCATTTCTTTACAAAAAATCTACTGTATTATTATATATTAGGTGTGTGAGCTAATTTTTTACAGGTGGCCATTGTCATCACTACTGTTTCGTGAGGTTATGTTTCTCGCCCGGCCAATTCATAAAAAGTCTTGTAAAGAACAACATCAACACTTAAAAATCCCAAAAGGACGTTTAAATATTTTTATTTAAAACAGGGTTTTTAGTTTGCTCAAAAACTCTGTAAAAATTAATTCACCCCTAATACTTAACTACAGTAGAGTCGTTTATAACAGAGATGAGTAGGGAGATGCACAACGCTACGGTTTTAGGCGATACCAAAAACATAGCGCTAAATCGTAGCGGCGATTCCAGGAGTAGGATTTTATGATCAGTTAAGAAAGTGCTAACTTGACACCCGTGTAGCACCTCAATTTTTACTAAATATTATTGGATCTTGATTATGATCATTGCCTCCGTCGATAATGTACATCCCGTCATAGCTGAGCTAAACGTGAATATGAACGTATAGCTCGGAGAGCAGAAGTTCTCCGCTACTCGACGCTGGTTCCCAAAGCAACTCTTAAAACGAGACCGGGAACTATAGAATTGAAAAAGCCTATTGTTGAAACATTTTTAAGACATTTTTAAGAAAGTGCAGTGCCAACTTGATACCCGTGTAGCACCTCAATTTTTACTAAATATTATTGGATCTTGATTTACTTTCAAAATTTCTTCAAAATATAAAACTGAGGCTAAATCAAAATCTCGCAGAATATACGGAGTAGCTAAAATTTGAGTTGAAATTGTAGAATATTGAAAATAAATTACATTCAAATTGAAATATTAATAAATTAAGTGTTTGTAACATTAAAATAATTAATTAAATCAATAAAGTAAAATATTAACACTCAGAAATCGGAATTTCAGGCCAAGCATATTTAGAAGTACTGGAAGTTGCCCAAAATTGTGTGCGCGCAAATTCGACGCGCAGGACTCGGCGAGTGGGAGCAGGCGGAGAGTGGGGGGATCGCTCATTCTTCCTCGAGCCGCTCTCTTATACTGGTCTCTTGGAACCATTTCGAACCTTCTTTTATTTTTATGGTACGTTAAAATTGAAATATTAATAAATTAGGTGTTTAGAACATTAAAATATTTAATGAAATGAATAAAGTAAAATATTAACACTTAGAGATCGGAAATTCTCACCACGTATATTTAGAAGTACTGGAGGTTGCCCAAAAATGTATGCGCGCAAATTCGTCGCGCAGGACTCGGCGACTTGGAGCAAGCGGTGGGTGGGGGGAGCGCTCGAGGCAGTGTCCGGACTCGGATCGCTCATTCTTCCTCGAGCCGGTCTCTTATACTGGTCTCTTGGAACCATTTCGAACCTTCTTTTATTTTTATTTTGTTCTTCCGTATTTATTTCTTCTTTACTTTCTCATTTATCTCTTACCTTATTTCTTCTCTACTTTTATACCCCTATTCCTTACTTTTCTACTTTTTAACTTCTTTATTCTATCTTCTCGTTTCACTCTGTTCCCTCTCACTTTCCATTGTTGGAACCATTTCGAACCTTCTTTTATTTTTATATTTATTTCTTCTTTACTTTCTTATTTCTTTATCTTTCATTCTTCACTTTCTTATTTATCTCTTTCCTCATTTCTTCTCCACTTTTATAACTCTATTCCTTACTATTCTACTTCTTCACTTCTTCATTTCTATATCCATTTACATCCTTCTTTTTCTTTATTTATTTCTTCTTTACTTCCTTATTTCTTTATATTTCTTCTCTACTTTTATACCCCCAGTGCCCAAAATTGTATGCGCGCAAATTCGTCGCGGCAGGACTCTTGGAGTGGGAGATGGCGGAGAGTGGAGGTGAGCGCTGGAGGCAGCGCCCGGACTTCGAACGCTCATTCTTCCTCGAGCCGGTCTCCTATACTGGTCTTTTGGAATCATTACTATTATTCATTTTCAACATTCTTCTCTTTCTATATTTATTTCTTCTTTACATCGTTTCCTTGGTCGGGTCGAGCATATTAATTGAAGTAGTCATATAAGAGTAGTTTTCTTAATCTGTCATTCTTTACTTTCTGATTTATCTCTTTCTTTATTTCTTTTTTACTTTTATGTTCCTTACTTTTCTACTTCTTAACTTCTTTATTTCTATCTTCCCTTCTGTCTTCTCGTTTCATTCTATTCCCTGTCACTTTCCATTGTGCTTGTTTTACTTGTCCTATTCCTTTGGTCGGGTTGAGCATATTAATTGAAGTAGTCATATAAGAGTAGTCACCCTGTTAGTGCAGCTAGATTTAAGACCATGGTGTCGGGGGTTGCCCTTCCGCCTCATCCGCTGAGCTTGCTCAGTGGGTCGGGCCCTAGTTGTGGCCGCAACGGGACCTTATGGGTCTCCCGACGGGGGCCTTGAGCCCCCTTAGGGTATCTACTGCTCAGTTGGTCGGGCCCAAGTAGCTGTTAGGACGGAGGAGAGTAAGAGAGAGACAGAAGTCATTCGTACTTTGGGATATTCGCATAGGGCAAAAGAATATCAACGTGTAACGTATTTCGTATATTTTGCTCGCTTTGCTAAAAACGCTCCAACATGTCATTGACCCTTGGGCACTCGTGTGGGTAGAGACGATCCTATGTGTCGGTGGGGAGGTCGGAGGGGTAGTCCGTTGACTCTGGGTAAAGTCCTATTTGTGCTTGTGCTTGGGGGTCGCAATATAATATACATGTGGTATGTTACATGCGCTACCACTTTGGACTTTTATTTTTCCAAAGGACAACAACTTTTTAACAACTTAGTTTTTAAGGATATACTAGGAGGAGAGTGATGGAGACATAGGAAAGAATAGGAGATTCGGAAATTGAGTAGAAACATTTGGTGACAGCAGCCAGGGAAGATGTTGTTAACGGGAAAAAGATGAAGATTGTTAAAAAGAAAGAGTGAGAAACAGAGATGGTAAGCATTGAAGGAACAAAGAGAGAAGAAAATGTGTAAACCGTGTGCACGAGAACCAGATTATTCGGGAGGAACGACAAATGAGAAAACTCGAAAATGTAGGAAAAGTAAGAAGTTTAAGGGAGCGAAATGGGCCCCTCCGCGCCCATTTCCGTGAGGTCCTGCCTCTCCTGAAGGGAGCTACGACCCCTCCGAGGCCCCATAGGGGACCGTGTTTTTTTTGTTTTTTTTTGAGGAAAACCCCCGAGTCCTGCGGCTTTCGCGCACAGGACTAGGGGGGAAAAACCTCAGGAAGGAAAGGAAATCGGGTCGAGGGACAAGAAAAACGCACAAGGGGGTAAGGTGAAGTTAAACGCGAAAAAGCTAAGATAAGTTAAACGCAAATCCTGCTGCTTTAGCGCACAGGACTAGGGGGGAAACCTCAGGAAGGGAAGGAAGTCGGGTCGAGGGATAAGAAAAACGCAAAAGGGGGTAAGGTGAAGTTAAACGCGAAAAAGCTAAGATAAGTTAAACGCAAAAGGGACAAGTTAAACGCGAAAGGTCAGCCCCTAGTCAAGATTCACCGCAACGAAAGACCGCGGGCGTAGCACCCGGCGGTACCCTTGCGGGCACGCCAGGACATCCCGAAGGACGATATTTAACGCTACAACCTCCGTCCCTTCCCACGGGCGAGCCCAGTGGGTTAGACGTAAGGAACCACGCCCGCCGCCGGCGGCGGGCCCCGTTAGCCATCGATCCACGCGCAAAATGTCTCCGACAGAGGGTGACCGCCCTTGCGGGCACGCCAGGACATCCTGAAGGACGATATTTAACACTACAACCTCCGTCCCTTCCCACCGAGCAAGCTCAGTGGGTTAGACGTAAGGAACCGCGCCCGCCGCCGGCGGCGGGCCCCGTTACCCATCAATTCCCGCGCAAAATGTCTCCGACGGAGGGTGACTTTATACTAGCAGGTGCTCAATAGCACCCGCACCTACCCCAAGTGAAGTGACCCCCAAGCACAAGCACAAATAGGACTTTACCCAAAGTCAACGGACTACCCCTCCGACCTCCCCACCGACACATAGGATCGTCTCTACCCACACAAGTGCCCAAGGGTCAACGACATGTTGGAG